CCTGCTGAAGCCCATTCCTGAGATCTGGCTCAGCCGGCAGGTGTCAGGGCCTCAGGCATCTGCCCAAGGGAGAGGAACCAGGGACTTCCCTGGCTGTTCACTGGAGGAGTGTGGACGCAATCGTGGAATTGCCTACCAAACCTGAGTCCAGATGTGCCTGTCCTCGGGCGCCTGCTCCTTGGGAGGACTGTCAGAGCAGCTGATCCCTGAGCCCGAGCAGGGCTGTGAAAATAAGACCCAGCCCTTGTAAAGGTGGCAAAAGGGAATCCCACGTTGCAGAGGGACCAGGAAGTTTCTGTGGAGACTCTGGCAAGATGGGTATGTGCAGCTTCGCCTAGTCCCCGCCCCACCTCACTCACCCCAATATTCCACCAGATTCACATCCAGAACCCTCCTCATACACCCTGAGCTCACTACCCGTCTCAGGCCAATCCTGGCATATTTTCCTACTCAGTTCCAGCCTAGCTTCACCCACTGACCGCCTACCTACCACCACTCCAAATTCAAGTTGATTTATTAAGGGTGGGGGGCTTTTCCCTGCCAAGCATTTGAAAAAGAGGACAAAACATGAAATGGGCGAAGCCACTACCCACCAAGAAGTCACTGCCCCTCGGGAGAGGCAGATATAGCAAACAGATAGTTACAAGGACCCAGTAAGGCTAAAGACAGCTGCAAGGCATTCTGACCCGCGTGCTGTGGCCTCTGCGGGGACATGAAGTAGCGGAGGGGCAGGGAGAGCGCCTCAGAAGCACCAGGAAAGTTTTCTCCCAAAGGCACGTGGCTGCCGTGCCAGGAGTCCTGGCTCGCCAGAGAGGCGGGGTGGGTGGCGGGCACGTGCACGTGTTTTGAAAATCTCTCCAGTCGACTTGTGTTCATTTGTCCCCCAGAGCCAGCGCTCAACATTCACTGGACACCCCAGGACGCCTAGAGGCCGTCGGTAGTTCCCTTAGGAAAATGGACAGACAGCAGCCCACGCGTTACTGTGGAGACCCCGGGGCGGGGCCTGGGGTGGGGACTGTGCAACCCTCAAATCGTCCCCCCGGGCCGACTGGGCCGGGACGGAAGACAGTGCCTCTTCCTGCTTGGGCCTCCAGGAGTTGGGGGCGGGCCGGTAGGCAATTCTCTCCAATCACAGCTTAGGAAGGGGAAGCGCTAACAACATTTCCTCCAATCATAGCTTGTAATGAGATTGATGTGTATCTCCACCAATCATCGTCGAGGCGCGATGGGCTTGTCGGGATAGGGGCGGGGAGCCAACATGGAGCCCTCGGTGGAATGAGGGTGAACCTGCGGCTGCAGTTTGCTCCTGCTTTCGCGCCCCAGCATGTTGGTGCACTTACTTCGGGTCGGGATTCGGGGTGGCCCTATACCAGGCAGGCTGCTACTGCCCTTTCGCTTCCAGACGTTCTCAGCTCTCAGGTAAAAGGGGACAAACCTTGGAGCGTGGGCCATTGACCGGCCGGCAAGGCGTGGGGCCCGCCGGGAGATGGAGTCCGGGAAGGCGCGAGGCGTGCTGGGAACTGTAGGCTGGCCCGCCCAGGTAGAATGTCAGTCCCCGGGGAATTGGCCTTAATTATTTAGAGTGACGGTCCAGGTGCCAGTAGGAGGCTCCGCGCGTCTGTGTCCGTATGTCTGCTGGACGGAGGAGACGTGACCACGACCGCTCCTCGCTGTCCACCAGAGGGCGCCGTAGCAGCCCCGGACCTCCCTGTTGGAATTGATTTAAGGATTTGGACAGAACTTAGTGTTAGCGACGAGAGACATTTAATATTGGCGATGCTCCCACTATGCAAAGTGAACCAAACCAAAACTGGTTCCTAGAGCTGGACACTGTCAGCAGGGATAGTCAGGGCCATAACTCATACTTATGTGTTCTTGGCAAAGCGCTCCAGGTTTTGGTCCCGGGAGGGAAAGAAAGAAACAAGTGGGAAACAAACAAGGAGCCTGGACTAGAATTTGAACGGAAATCCAAGAGGTGGGGGCTTGATTTCCTTCTTTTTTTTTTTTTTTTGGAGAGATTTTCGCTGTAGGGCGCCTGTGGTCACCAGACAGACAGAGAGACATAGAGACAGAAAGTGAGAAATCACCACCCCCCAGGGGGGATGGTCACGCCGCAGTCCCTTCTCCATTCTCCTCTCGGGATCTTGGGCACACACGCACATGCACCCGGTGTGAGTTTTAAGCCACTGGGTCCAGGACGCGAACCATGGTCAACTACGTGGGAGTCCAGCAACATAGCCAACATAGCCATTACGCTAACTACTGGTTCCCAAGGGCTTGATTTCCTTCTAATCCTGGGGTGAACCTGAGGGCTAGACAGGCAGAAGATTCTGCAGGACAGGTAGATGTGAGGTTGTCTTATTTTTTATTTTTTTAAGAGCGTTTTTTGCTATAGGGCGCATACGCTCGCCTTAGAGACAAAGAGACAGAAACTGGAAATCACACATCACCCCCCTCCCCACCTCCATGGCCTACTTTATTCCCTTCTCCTCTCGGGATTTTGGGCACAGAGGGCACAGGCGCCCAGCATGAGTTTCAGGCTGCTGGTCCGAGTTTCAGACCAGTCAACCATTGTGCCATCTGCTGGTCCCAAGTTGTGTCATTTGAAAAGCCTGTCTGATTGAGAGGGGCCAAGAGCTGGGGCAGCCAGAGCTAAGAGTGCCGGTGCTGGGAAGTAATCCACCAGTTCTTGGCAACGACCAAGCCCTTCTTAGAGCTATAGTTTGGAGAAGACGAGAGAAGCCGGAAAGTGGCCGTGATAAATTATTGAAAGGTTTGGAAACAGTCCTTGGGAGAGAATAAAGGTGTTGATATTATTTAAACCAGAGAGAAACCCAAGAAGAGACACCAAATAACATCCAAGTATATATTTGTTCGTTGGTTTTTTGGTTTTGTTTCTCAGTAGATCATGAAATAAATTTAGTGGAACAGCACCATTTAAAAGGGAATACGGCCCAGCCTCCGTGGTGCGGCTGGTAGCTGGGCAGACCTTGGAGCTGGAAGCCAACCGCGGTTCACATCCCTGGGCCAGTCAGCCTGGAGCACACTGGGCACGTGCACACTTACCCAGGATTCTGTGGGCTGGAGGACTGGAGGAAGGCCACAGAGTAACCAGACCCTGAACAGTGTGCTTCCCTCTCTCTGCCGTCACATGTGTGTGCATACATGTGCTTTATTATGAGTAAATAAACAAAATCAAAGTGACTGTAATCGGAAGACTCAGAACACATGTTAAAAATTTAGGGAAAGTGTTGTTCTGTGAAGCATTTCAATTTTGTGCAGCATATATTGGGTTGTTGGAAAAGTCATGCTGCATTTTTACACAGAATAGAAAAATACGACCTGACTTTCCCGACAACCCAACGTATGTTCATTGTCCTGGGTTGCAGCAGAGTACCTGTCTTACTGTTGGCCGTAGTAAGCCTGAAGGTTTGCAGAACACTGCACTCGGCACGTCACATTGTTCCGCATCTCTAGCGAGTGCAGGCGTGCACTCATCAAACCTTTGTCGAACCTCTGTTATGGACCAGAGCTCTGGCGAGTGCTTCGATACCCAGCTTCCTGTCCTTCGGGTCCGTAAAGCCTAATGGGGAAACCAGACAGTTACAGAGGGCAGAAGGGTGAGCTCCACTATCTAAAATTTCAGACACACGTAAGAACACAGTGGAAGAGAAGATGTAAGAACAGGCAGTGGGTCTGGGACTCAAACTATAGTAGGCCATGTGGGAGTCCAGCACCATAACCGCCATGCCACCTCCTGGCCTGGGAAGAGTGTTTGTAAGACTGCTTCCGTGTGTGTGGATGGCCTGAGAGAGGCAGGATCAGTCTGAAAGAAGAGGAGACGCCGCTGTGCGGAGGGCCCAGCCAGGTCAGCTGCAGGGCCATCGGCCCTCTGCCATCCATGCCGTTCTCCCCACAGGTACTCTGATGGCTGCCGGGGCTCCTCCCTCCTTAGGGCCGTGGCTCAGCTTCGGTCCCAGCTACGGGCCCACCTCCCTTGTGTACCCCCAGTGTCCAGCCGGAGCCCCTGTGCCTGGGGCTGGGCTGGGGGAGCCTTGCTGGGCGCCGTGGTGCTGAGTAGGGGTCCCCGCCTCTTCCTTGTGGCGCTGTGTGAGGCAGAAGAGGCCCCTCCTGCCCGCTCCGTGCCTCGGGTCGTGGAGTCCCGCTTTAACTGGAAGCTCTTCTGGCAGTTCCTACGCCCCCACGTGTTGGTCCTGGGGGTAGCCATCATGGTGAGGCTTCCCCCACTCCTCCATCCCGGGGATGGGGTGAACCAGGGTCTGCAGAAACCCAGCCGGAGCTGCACAGAGGCAGTGTTCCCACCTCCCCGCATTGCAGAGGGGACCTCGCAGAAGCAGCCAGGGCTGGCCGGGGACCTGGGGTTGGAGGAGTGGCAAGAGGACCTGCCCAGGGTAGCGAGCTTGCAGGGTACAAGGGTCCACAGGAGCAGGAAGCCTGGGCTTTTCCCTGGGAGGCACTGGTGTGTCTGCATGAGCAGACACAGCGTGGACGTGAGCAGACAGTGTGGACGGGCGCAGGGCTCAGGAGAGGGAGAGCAGGGGCTGCTGCCCGGCGGAGGTGGGGAAGAGGATGGACCTTCTCGTTTCCCGCCCCCGCTCCAGCTGGCCCTGGGTGCGGCGCTGGTGAACGTACAGATCCCCCTGCTCCTGGGCCAGCTGGTGGAGATCGTGGCCAAGTACACCAGGGACCACATGGGGAGCTTCATGGCTGAGTCCCGGAACCTCAGCGCGCACCTGCTTGTCCTCTATGGCATCCAGGTACAGGGGGAGGTGGGCGTGCCGCTCTCAGGAGCCACCCCAGGCACCCCTGAGTGCACCGGCCTCTCCCGCAGGGCCTGCTGACCTTCGGGTACCTGGCGCTGCTGTCCCACATCGGCGAGCGCATGGCTGTGGACATGCGGAGGGCCCTCTTCAGTTCCCTGCTGCGGTACTGCTGGGGCCAGGGTGTGAGCAGGGCTGGGGCTGCAGCTGCGGCTGCAGCTGTGGCTGGGGCCTGTCCTGAAGTAACGACTCCCTCTTCTCCCCACCTGCTGTCCCCACCTGCCACGGCCAGACAAGACATTGCTTTCTTTGATGCCAAAAAGACAGGGCAGCTGGTGAGCCGACTGACGACCGATGTGCAGGAGTTTAAATCGTCCTTCAAGCTCGTCATCTCCCAGGTCAGTGGCCCCAGGTCCGCCATACACACACGCACCCAGTATGGACTCCCTGTACCTGCCCTGCTGAGAGCTGAGACTCAGGCTGACAGGAGAAGCCTGCCCTGTGGGAAGGAAGCTGTACAGGAGGGGCTGGGGCAGCATCCGAGCTCGGGGCGCACGTGGCCACGGTTCTGAAACCCTGTCTGCCGGAGTTCTCCCCAAAGCTCAGACCAGAGCCTCCCTGGCAGGAGCCAGAGCTCTCAGCCTACCTTGTCCCCAGAGCACCTGGTCACCCCAAGCCCTGGGTGCCGGTGCTTTGCTATTCACTCCTGTCCTGCCCACACCCCTCAGCCCCCGCACCCCCGCGACCTCTGAATGAGGCACACATGCCCCAGTGGTCGCTGGGTGGCAGCCCCGTACTCCTGTCCTTTCAGCTTCTAGAACAGACAGGAGCGAGAGAAGTGGGGTTGGTCTGGGGTGGGGTGCTTTGGCCCCCAGGCGTTCTGGTTCTACACCAGCTGGTCAAGAATGGGTGATGCTCAGTTACCAAAGGCTGGCACCGGGCCTCCCAGGGCTCAGACCTGTGGCCTCAGCCTCGGCGTGTGGAGTGTGGGCAGTGGACCGTGCTGAGTGACCAAGCCCCTCCTCTCCCCAGGGACTGCGAAGCTGCACCCAGTTGGCTGGCTGTCTGGTGTCCCTGTCCCTGCTGTCCCCACGCCTCACACTGCTGCTGATGGTGGCTACACCCACCATGATGGGCGTGGGCACCCTGATGGGCTCAGGGCTCCGCAGACTGTCTCGCCAGTGTCAGGAGCAGGTGACAGCTTTCCCCCAACCCTGCCACCCCCAGCAACCCCTCCCGACTCCAACCGGCTCCCCGGTGCTCCGGCTGCTTGCAGGTCGCCAAGGCGATGGGTGTAGCCGACGAGGCCCTGGGCAACGTGCGGACCGTTCGCGCCTTCGCCATGGAGCAGCGCGAGGAGGAGTGAGTGGGGGAGGGTGAGCCCAGAGCTGGGGTGTCGCCCCCACAACCCCTGCCCCACAGCAGCCCAGCTGCTTCCTGAGCACTGCCGGCCTCTCCCCAGACGCTACGGGGCGGAGCTGGAGGAATGACGCTGCAAGGCCGAGGAG